TTCTTGAAATGAAAATATAGGGAACATACCAAAAAATGGACCCATACCGACATTTCTACAAACCGATTATGTAAACAATAATTTTTAATAGAAAATTATACCCTCAGCCTTATGGCTAATTAGTGTGTATACACTTTCACACGGTGAAAATGTGCCTCATCGAAATATTGGGTCTAGACGCCATGTTTCTTTGAACCAAATCCGTTTCAGAAAAATTTGATTTCATCCCACTTTATTATGTTTTCCAAACTTAGTTCAAGTCCGAATTTGGGGAATATCGGTCCATGCCTTCTGGTACCTCCCACACAGGGGCTACGGCTAAGCCTAAATATGGGCTATAGTTCACATATAGTTTATTATCGAACCGTACGTTCTAGTTTTTTATCTCGATATCCTTCGCAGGTGAAATGATTACAACAGAGTGTTAGAACCAAATATAAAAAATGGGGTTATATGGGGACAACGCCTAAAAGGGGTTGACTATTAATAATTTTTGGTAGGGAGATTTGTTTCCATATACGACTACAAAATACCAAATTTCGGTGATTTCGGTTGAAAAACGCGCATAAGAACCTCAAAATGCCGAAATTTGGGGGTACCTTTATATGAGGGCTATCAGAAAAAACTGACTTATATTTATAATTTTTAGTGGAGATATTTGGTACCCAACAAGAACCTAAGGTACCAAATTTCAGCGACCTATATTTATAATTTTTTGTGGAGAGATTTGGCACCTAATAAGAAATCAAAATACTAAATTACAGCCAATTTGGTGGAAAAATACGATCAAAACCCCCAAAATACTGAAAATTATGAGGTACAGTTATTTGGGGGCTACCAGAAAAAGTAGACCTATATTTATAACTTTTTGTGGAGACATTTAGTACCTAATAAGAACTCAATGCACCAAATTTCAGCGTATTCGTTTGAAAAACGCGCTCAAGAACCCCAAAATACCGAAAATTTGGAGGTACTGTTATATGGGAGCTAGGCATACGTGGACCGATATATCCCATCTTCGAACTTGACCTGCCTGCAGACAAAAGACAAACCTATGCAAAATTTCAGCTCCCTATCTCAATTCTTTCAGAAGATAGCGTGATTACAACAGACGGCGGACTGAGGGACGGACATGGCTAGATCGTTTTTACCCTGATCAAGAATATATATACTTTATAGGGTCGGAAATGAATATTTCGATGAGTTACAAACGGAATGACAAAATTAATATACCCTCCATACTATGGTGGAGGGTATAAAAAGTGGTTCTTGGACCAATAATTCGTGGCGTTAGAAACTCTTGGGGCTACGCAAACTTATAATTTCCTCACAATATAGTTGTGCAGGTTATAAAAATTAAAAAAAAAAAATATTTTTTTTTTTTTGCTAACAGATGATTTGGTTCACAGCTCGCCTCTTCGTACTCAAGTGTCTATTTAATTAATTTAATAATTAACAAACCTAATTGAGCAACAACTAAATTCAGGATACCGGTAATTTGCTGTCGGTATTTTGGAAATCGAAATTCTATACTTCCTTTTTCTAAAAATAACACAAAACGAAAATTTTAGCTATTCAATATAAAATTCGATTAAAAGATCGCGCTTTTCAATCTCAACACAAAGCTCATATTACATAACACAACACTTGTTATAACAATTAAGAATACGTCAAACTAAAACAAAAAATACAAAAACTTTTTTCAAAAAAAAAAAAAAAAAAATAACCAGAAGTCCCCCTTCAAAACCACGACAGAGAAACTAGGACGGCATGACATGAATCTTTTGATTTGTTGTGTAAAAAAAGACAAACAAAAATTTCGAGTATGAAAAAATCTTTAAAAGAGTTGAAATCCTGAAGATACACCAACAAAATTCTAAAAACGCACACACACAGATATGAAACAAGCTCATCTTCAATACTGAAGTTAAAGCAAAGCTGCCACAAAAAGACTAGCAGCGAACATTTTGGCACAAACTTCAACAACAACGTAAGCAAAAAAAGACTAAACTAAAATCTCGAAAGAAAAAACAAAAGCGAGATTGAAAACTGTACTGAAAGAACAAAAAATAACAGCATTCAAGACAAAGTCACAGATTTTGCAACAGGGAAGGATTTTGAAAGGAGCACAGAATTCACAAGGCGTGGATTTATTAATGAAATATTTTAAGGTCTCCCTAAAATATTTTATACCCTGCACAACTATGTTACATGGAGAAGGAGATCGGGCCAAAGAATACGCATGCCTGTTTTGATAAAGAGTGGTCAATATTTAGCGGGTCAAATGGACCCTAACTTTTGTGTGAAAAATGAGAAAATTTGTATCTTATGGCGTATATATTTACTCCTGAGGGACATAGACGCGAGAAGTTGATAGTATATCCAAGAGGAGTTGTTACCTTCAAATTGATGCCAATTATATGGTCGTATGTGGGAGTTACACTTAACTGTTTACAGGTGCTTACGTATTCATATATTATCTAGTAACCCATTAATACACTAGAGGGCGGAAATATAGCGCTGATTGCTTTGCAATTTTCCATGAGGATCCAGGTATGGTCAAGGACAACGCCAATAATTTTCGGTGATGATCAGATAATAATTTTGGAATGAAGTGGACCGAAAACTTAATTTTTTGTGTTATTTTCGAGTCGGTCTACAGTCCACAATAGAAAGCCGAACATCACAACATAACCCACAGTGAAGGTAATCTGCACAAATAAATAGAAGGGCTGTACTGAATATTAGTTATAAACGGAAAATATTTCATTATAAGGAAGAGGTGGTGTTGACCTCTAATCGGGCAAGAGGGTGCAACTATAACGATATATTGCCCAGGATCGGAATAAAGTTAGAGTTCCGTGGTAGTTGTGTAGGGTATCGTATGGTCGGCCCCGTCCGACTATACTGCTACAAAGGCTTTAATCCACGCCTTATAGTTACCTGCAAACATTTTTTATACCCTTCACTGTGGTACTGGGTATTATGTCTTTGTGCATATGTTTGTAACAGGCAAAAGCAAGCGAGATAGACACATGGTTCCTTTTGAGAGTATGCATAGAATCACTTTTTGAGTCCATTTATGCATGACTGTCATCCTGTAGATGTTAACTTGCCCCAAAGTCCCTATATATCTTTCGATTTGCACGAAATTTTGCATAATGCACTGAATTGAGTCTAGAATGATGTGTGTCAAGTTTCGAGAAAATCGGGTCAGATTTAGATATAGCTCCCATATATGTGTTCGTCCGATTTAAGGTAAATGGGGCACCGTAGTCCCTATATATCTTTCGATTAGCACGAAATTGTGCATAGAGTACTGGATTTTGTCCAGAATGGTGTGTGCTAACATTCGATAAAATCGGTTCAGATATAGATATATGTAGATCCAATATATATATTCGTCCGATTTTATGTAAATGGTGCACCATTTAAATCGAATCAGATTTAGGTATAGCTCCCGTATAGGTATAGCTCCCGTAGCTATATCTAAATCTAATTCGATTTTCACGAAATTTAACTGACATCGATCTAGACTTAATTCAGTACGTTATGCCAAATTTCGCGAAAATCTAATCAGATTTAGATATAGCTCCCATATATATTTTCGTCCGATTTTAAGTGAACAAAACAGCAAAGTCCCTATATATCCTTCGATTTGCACGAAATTTGGCATAACGTATTGAATTAAGTCTAGAACGATGTGTGTTAAATTTCATAGAAATCGGTTCAGATTTAGATATAGCTCCCATATATATTTTCGTCCGATTTTATGTAAATGGTGCACCAAAGTCCCTAAATATCTTCGAGTTGCACGGAAATTGGCACAGCGCATTGAATTTGGCCAAGAATGATGTGTACTAAGTTTCCTAAAAATCGGTCCAGATTTGGATATAACTCCCATATATATATATATATATATATATATTCGCCCGATTTTACGTGAATAAATCAACAAAGTCCCTATATATCCTTCGATTTGCACGAAATTTGGCATAACGTACTGAATTATGTCTAGAACGATGTGTGTTAAATTTCGTAGAAATCGGTTCAGATTTAGATATAGCTCCCATATATTTTTCATCCGATTTAAGGTTAATAGTGCACCAAAGTCCCTAAATATCCTTCGATTTGCACGAAATTTGTCATCGCGTTTTGAATAGAAAAAAATATTTATTTAAAAATCCTCGCCTTCTTGGTCTTTAAAATAATATTTATTTTCAATATTTTTCTTGTATTCCAAAGGCCCCACTATTCTTTTACAAATTCAGGCCCTGCTCTTATTTTAATGATGTTGTGCCAAAATAAAAATTTAACCAACCAAACCGAACGCATACAAAATTCCGCAAGTGATTAAAGTGTCATTGAAAAATATTTCATATTAAATTGAGGACGATGCGGAGCAACAGCAACAACACTTCGATTATAACGAATATTTTTAACCCCAAAAAAATCTCTAAAGCCATACAAAAACAGGTAAGCAGGTAAAAATAACCTGAAGACATTAAAAATGTTTGTACAACAACAGCGAAAAAAGAAGATAAATCTCTTTTTTCCAACGAAATGCCAAACAAACAAAAAAAGAGCTACAAGGGAGAGTCAAAAAGGATCGATCGACCTAAAATAACAACAAAATAAAGAAATGAAAAGCAATTTGAGACCCTTAACGAATTTGAGGGACGGACAAAACGACCGAAAAAAGGTCCACATGAAATACTACAACAACAAAAATTGCTTGTGCAAAAAATAACAACAAATAAGTAGATGGACCTGACAAGCAGGTAGAATTCCTTTGCATAACCTGCAGGACAAAAGAGTAGAGTAAACCAACCCCTAATATTATCCAACCAAAGAGAGGAAGAGTAAATGCAACAGCATAACATGGCAAAAAGGAGGTCCTGGCCAAGGATCCGAGTATAAATAGCACTACTCGGATTTGGGAATAGCATCATTCAATCGTTGCATTTTCAAGCAGTAACAACTCCAGCAAAATCATCACCATGTCTTCAATCTACAACACCTCAAGCAGCTTCAATTCAACCTCGTTCTACGTTAACAACAAAACCCTGGACAAATCATCCTTGACTCCTGCCTCCAGCATGAAGAAGTTACTGAAAACTGTACGCAAAATTATTTTCAATAGCAAAAAATCAGGACCCTCACTACCACCTAACAGCGGCCTGAAAGTAACCAGTACACCAATCCGTAAACCAGTTCCCTCTGTCATCCTTGGTTGTATGACAGAAGAGGAGCATCACAACTGGCTCAATGAACAATTGGAGGAATCCTTTGTTAGCCAGCAACAACTACAACAACATGAAGAATAAACTGCACCCATCCTCCTCAGGAGGTCTATTAGGCGTTTTAACTTCTCATCGCTCAACAAAAAAAAGATGAGAACAGCGTTTTAAATGCTCAACTAAAAATTTTGGCGGGATTTTCTTCATCACCAGCAAATGGCGGCGCAGGTTGACCTACAACTACTCAGGAACACGACTGGCGGCTTTGCCACAGGGCAAAGCATCATGGGTCTAACTTTGGCAGCATCAGCAGGAGAACAATAAGGGATACAGAGGCACTGAAATATGTGTCAATTAGGAAAATTAAAATAATTAGAGAAATTAAGAAAAATTATAATGAAAATAAAATAAAAAATATTAAAAAAAAATTAAACAAATTCGTTGTTATTATTTTAAACGCAAAATTTAGAAAAATTATCAAAATTAAAATTGCTTAAAAATATAGCCATAAGGCGTGGATTTTTAATGAAATATTTTTTCAAGCCAACAAAAGGCGTGGGTTTTTAAATATTAAACCAGTAAGGAAAGTTCAAAAATTGGACGGGACCGACTATATGATACCCTTCACAACTTTGGGTACATGCAAGACATGTTAATATCTACAATATCTTTTAGATAGAACGGTCATAGAATCTTTGGAGGACCATTGAGATGGAATCGTGAAAAATTAAATGTGCTATCTAGATAGATATTTAAACCAATTGAAAACCCTTATACACATACCATTCTGAAATCAATGAAAAATTGCATGTCAAACGGACAGACTTGGATTCTTTGGTGTACCATTTGTATGAAATCGAGTCAAATTATGTATGGGAACTATATATAAACACATGGACCTAATTGAGTAACCGTTGCATACACCATTTGCTTTGTTGCAATCATTATATTCAATTTAAAATCGAAAGAAAATATATATAAGACCTATATCAAAATCTGAACCGATTTCCACAAACCTTATCAAGCATCATTTTTTCTCAATAGCATTCGCTATGCAAAATTTTACTCAATCAGACAAATATTGGAAGTTTGATGCATCATTCACAAAAAATCGGACGAAACTATATATGGGAGCTATATCTAAATCAATCAATCGTTCTTTTTAACAAAATAAAAAAAAACAGTGAGCGGTGCAGTATAGACGGACGTGGCCGACCATATGATACCTTATACCCACTTCCACGAAAATCTAACATTCTGTGGTTCTATATTTTGAGCCTGAGCAATATTTTGCGATATTTGCAAATATTACTAGTATTCAGTACAGATTCCCTTCACGGTGGGTTGTGTTGTGATGTTCGGCTTTCAATTGTGGCCTATATATCGACTCGAAAAAACACAATACATTCAGTTTTCGATCCAATTCATCCCAAAACTATTATCTGATCATCACCGAAAATTACTGGCGTTGTCCTTGACCATAACTGGAACCTCATGGAACATTTCACAGCGATCTGCGCTAGATTTCCGCCCTCTAGTGTGGTAAAATAATATCTGAATATATAAACACCTGTAAATATTTAAGTATAACTCCCACATCTGAGTACATACGACAATGTAATTGGTATCAATTTAAAGGTCAACCATTCCTCTTAGATTTACTATCAACTTCCCGGGACTATGACCTTCAGGGGTAAATCTATACGATATAGAATACAAATTTTGTAATTTTTCACACAAAAGTCAGGGTGCATTTGACCCGCAAAATATCTATCAAAACAGGCATGCTTATTCCTTGGCCCGATCTCTTCTCCCCTTCGCGATGTTTGGGCCATAATGATGGCCTCTGGGGCTATCCGACAAAAATAAAGTTTTTGGTACATTTCATTTCCTAAATATTAACCGATCTTTACCAAAAACAATAGGGGTCCAGAACCCATCCTACATGCAAAATTTCGTGAAGATTGGTCTATGTAGGATGGGTTGGTCGATATAGGTTGGTGCGTATGAAATGTATAAAACTGCATATATTTCTTCAAAAGCTGTTTATTCAATCATAGTATACTCCATTCGCTTCTCTACACATCTCCCAATGAGATTTTAAAGAGTAGATGCCTGTCTTAAAAAATTTTTGGTCTTTAGAATTAATAAACTCTGATATCGAGTTTTTTAGGCTGTCTTCATTTTCATAGTGTTTGCCTCTTAAAAACAGCTCTAAATGAAAATCGATTGGCGAGAGATCCGGAGAATATAGTTGATGCTGCAAAACTTCATATTCAAATTCGTTCAGTTTCGCAATTGTTTTGTGCGATGTATGTGGCCGAGCGTTGTCATGGAGCAGTAGCGGGCCATACCGATTCGGAAGCGATGGCCGTACAATTTTTAACTTATCGTTCATCTCATCAATGTACTGGCAGTACTTTCATACTAATAGAAAGTTCCCTCGTGGATACGTCTGTATCCGCTTCCACTAGATCCTTCAGGTCATCATATAAGAAAATGACGCAAATGTCGGCAGAATTCACTGACAATAAACTCAGAAGAAATAAGAAAAGGGAAGACCTTCGAGAAACCCTATTTTGCTGAAATGAGTCTCTGACAAAGGACAATACGACTATGAATGGGGTTATGCCAAAGACAAAAGTATAACGAAAACAGGGAGACAAATGTCCGCATCAGAGATGGTCCGTCAGAAACAGTGACGTAAATGACATACATTTTCGACGTATATTACATACGTCAGAAACGTCGGAAACCCACCCCAAACCATTAGGTTTTTGACAAAATACCTATTTCCATTAATGAATTTGGAAATTACGTATGCTTTACTGAAATCCATATAAAATTTCAAAAAAATTTTCTCGAAAAAGTTTAGAATTTTGTATTAGTTCTAGTAAGGAACAGATAGATATATGTAAAAATAATATGTATTTTTGAAAATAACGGTATATGGTAATAATATTCGAATAAATGACGTTTTCTACATTTACTACATTTTATACAGGTATATGACGTTTTCGACGTTTACACCTTTTTGACAGTCGAAAACCTAAAAATTCGTCATACGGACCATCCCTGGTCCGCATGCAAAGATAATTCGACATTTCAAACGAAGCAACACATGTCTAAATCGACTTAAAAGTGTCTAGGATCAATATTTCGAGGCGTTACAAACTCCTGGGGCTGAACAAAGCTATGATACCCTGACAACATAGTTGAGTAGTGTATAAATATTTGTGTCTAATATTTATACCCTTCACCACACTGTGGTACAGGCTGTTATGTCTTTGTGCATATGTTTGTAACAGGCAAAAGGAAACGAGATAGACACATGGTTCCTTTTGAGAATATGCATAGAACACATCCTCAGTCGATATATGCATGTCTGTCCGTCCATCTGTCTGTTCATGTTAAAGTACAGGTCGAATTTTAATCCGATTTAGATGAAATTTGGCACACGTCACTTATTTGGCCCAAGGACGAATCCTATTGCAATTGGGAAAAATCGGTTCAGATTTAGATATAGCTCCCATATATACTTTCGTCCGATTTAAGGAAAATGGTGTACCAAAGTCCCTATATATGTCTCGATTTGCACGAAATTTGGCACAGCGTAATGAATTAGGTCTAGAATAGAGGTGTGCAACGAAAAAATTCTCAGAGAAGAAATGAGAAACCGCGATATGAAATGACTTACTAACAGAGAACACAGAGAACTAACTTTTTTATGCATGTAAATAAGGGCACCAGCTCCCATGGCTGAACCGGGCTAGTCTAGAATGATGTGTGTCAAGTTTCCTGAAAATCGGTTCAGATTTGGATATAGCTCCCATATACATTATCGTCCGATTTAATGCAAATGGTGCACCAAAGTCCCTATATATCTATCGATTTGCACGAAATTTGGCACAGCATAATGAATTCGGTCTAGAATGATGTGTGGTAAGTTTCGTGAAAATCGATTCAGATTAAGATATAGCTCCCATATATATTTTCGTCCGATTTAAAGTAATTTGTGTACCAATGTCCCTACATATACTTCGATTTGCACGAAATTTGGCACAGCGTAATGAATAAGGTCTAGAATGATGTGTGTTAAGTTTAGTGGAAATCGGTTCAGATAGAGATATAGCTCATATATATATTTTAGTCCGATTTTATGTAAATGGTGTACCAAAGTCCCTATATATCTTTCGATTTGAATTTTGGCAAAGGGTACTGAATTAGATCCGGAATGATGTATGCTAAGTTTCGATAAAATCGGTTCACAGTTAGGTATATCTCCCATTTATAGTTTTGCCCGTTTTTAGGTAAATGGGACACCAACGCCCCTATATATCTTTCGATTTGCACGAATTTTGGTATAGGGTACTGAATTAAGTCTAGAATGATGTTGGTAAGCTTCGTGAAAAGATCCATAGCTAGGCCGATTGACACAACGTACTGAAGTAATATAAATTAGTCTCTGGCAAGTTTCCCTATAATCGGCACAGATATAGATATATAACAAAAAGGCGTCGTATGTTAGATAGATATGTACAATATACCCAAAGTGGTGAAGGGTATCATATAGTCGGCCAAGTCCGACTTTTCTACTTTCCTTACTGGTTCTTAAATATATTTATCCAGCCTCTTAACTTGGTTTCATTAGAATATATTTATCCAAGCTCTCAACAAGGCTTTGTCTTTAATTTATTTTCTTGTTTTATTCAACAAAATCCTCCACTGTCCCTCCTTATCTAGACGTATGTATGCCAAATGTTTTCACATTTTACTATCAACAAAATAACAACAAACCAACCTCAAGCATTGCCCATTAAAGGCGCTTTAGTAAACCGTGATAATGACAATGATGATAAACACACATTCTTCCATCAGAATGTCTGGAAGTACTTGAACTTCATGAAAATAAAACAAAATTCCTAGTAAGCGCCATATCATAAACGGCTCACGTTCCGGCTCTGTTTCGCTCATCATAAACTGCATATTGCAATCATATTTTACACATATGTTCATGTCTGAGGATTAACCCGCAATTTAGTGGCTATAAGAATTTTTGTGAGTACGTATGTTGGGAAAGGGAAAAA